TAATCTTATGGCCCATATTTGTCCTTACGTTTGTATTTTAAGAGTGTTTGCATGTGAATGTAACCCTATATATATATATATATATATATATATATATATATATATATATATATGAAAAAAAGAAGAAAAGCAGAAACTATATATACACACATACAAAACAAAAGCAAAAACAAAAAAAAAAACAAAAAAAAAAAAAAAAAAAAAACATATTATCAGACACAACCCTATAGATAAACCTATCTATTTAGTTTTCAACACCCCCCCCCCCCCCCCCCTCAAGCTCGAACATCTAGAAGTTCAAAGCTTGGATTAAACATACACTCTACATTACAAATGAAGATTAAAAGCAGCTAGAGAATAACAGTGCTAGATGGCTTCGGAGGGACAATGTTATACACAATCCTTGGGAATGAAGGCACCAGGGAAGATTAACACGAACACCCTCACAGCAACATAAGCACTCCCTTGAGAAGCCGACGTCCGCGGCAGCTTACTCTAGATGGCTCACATTCCGGACTCTTCTCAGCACCAAGTAGCCCTTTTCCCCTTTGGATGGCTTCACTCCAAACCTTATCAAGTACCAGGTAGCCCTTTTCTAGGTCGCCCCCTCCGCTAGACCGGCACCGGATGAGTGAACGGCTTCACTCTAGATAGCTTTCACTCCGGACTCTTCTCGGTTTCCTTTGAACCTTATCAAGCAGCGGGTTGCCCTCTTCCAGGTAGCCCTTTCCCACCACAATCCAGCCTCTCAACAAGAGCACCAAAGTAATGACAAATACACCCAAAGAGTGAAGTATGAATACCGAGAGCACCACATATGACTGTTGTTTATACCCCTTATAGGATAAGTGAATAACAAAAGAGACTTTCAGAAATAAACAAAAGGTACCAAACTTGAAAACCCTAGGGAATAAATATGGTATACCGAATACAATTATACCAAAAAACCCCAGAAAGAAGTTGGCAACAAACCCAAAAAGCCTTAAAAATTCACCAACATGTCCAAAGAAGGGCAAAACAACAATCTGTAAAATTTTCACCAGAAAAATACATCATATGCACAGAAGGAATGGAGGAGAGCCGACGAGCAGAACTGGAGAGTTTCGTCGGAAAAAGCCGTCGGAGATAGCCTCACGCGCCGGCGTGTGGAGGCGCGTGACGGAGGAGATGGCGATGCCGCTTGCTGGGTTAGCCTCGCCGGAGATAGTCGAAGGGATGGGTGACACCAATTTGACCAAAGAACTCACCAAAAGCAAGTAATTTGAAAAATTAGTGTTTGCGTGAACAGTAACTTTACTGTTCATGCGATGAAAAACAATTTTGATGTTTTGGAATGCCCTAGGAAAGTAGGGTTTGGTACCCTAGTAATAATGAAAAGCTGACAAATGATTTATAAACGTATTTTTGAAATAACAAAAAATAGTTATTGCAAATGAGTTAAGAATAACTAATACCAATGGAGCATTGAGAATAAGTAATACCAATGGGGCATTAGGAATAACTATTCTAATGAAAAAAAAAAAAACAAAAAACAAAAAAAAAAAAACAAAACATAAAAAGAATAACAAAAAAAAAAACAAAACAAAAACAAAAAACAAAAACAAAAACAAAACAAGCAAAAAAAAACAAAAAATAAACAAAAAAATAGTCAATTCTATAAAATTATACGGAGTATTCTTTAATATAAAAATAGAACCAAACAACAAAATAAGTCTATTCTATGGAATGAATGATATATTCCATTCCTAATTGAATTCATGAACCAACATCACGTTTGACTTTTAATAATCTTATTTGGGAGAAGATATGAAAGCATATTAGTGGTCAGTGGATGACTAGGAATAAAATGGTTGTTAAGAATCAAATAAATCAATAGTACTATTTATGTCCAAAAAAAAAAATCTTCCTTCTAAAATAATTAATGTACACATACACATATACATATACATAGTCTATTTTATGTACTACTCCCTCCGTCCCGAATTGGTTGTCTCATTTGCTTTTTGCACGCTTTTTAATGAATTAAAGTAAATGCTATGTATTTTCCAATTATGCCTTTCATTTTTTCACTTTTGGAAATAAAAGCAAAAGTCATAAGGGTAATTTGGGAAAAAAGTAGAATGATGGTGATGTTCAATTTTGGAAAGAGGACAACATTTTGGGACAAACTAAAAAGGAAAGTAAGACATGCAAAATGGGACAGAGGGAGTATATATTAAGGATCAAATGAGAACTGTGGACTAATCTTGGAATTGATGTGTTCTTGATGGGTGATTTAGATTGTTTTGGTTATTTAATTTTTTATTATAATATATTTAGGTTGGGAGTGTTTAATAATTGTGTCGGATTCATATTATTATTATTTTTGGATTTTATGCATGATTTTAGGAGGAGTAATTTTGGCAGGATTCTTGATTATTGTTTTTTTTTTTCTTTTTTTTTTTTTTTTTTATGCGTAGCTATTTTCAGAAATGTGTGTATGTTATTGTGTATTTGTAAACAACACATTTAATTTTGTGCTTCACAATATGGCCATGTGCATTGTTTTGTCGTCCATGTGTGCATCCTTTTGTTGAGTATCAGTGCATTTTTTGTCGTCCATGTGTGCATTCTTTCTCGTGGCCATTTACAGATCGGTGTGTGCATTTCTATGTCCGCTACTGATGCAAGTCGTTCTATATTTTTCTAAGTGCACATTTGTGCATTCGTATGTTTTATACTCGTGCACGTGCACGTGCACCTATATGCATATTTAAATGATATTATTATGGGCAAATGCTTAGGTTACTATTATTGGTTACAATATATTTGGGAAGAATATAATCACAGATCATACAATGCACACCAAATTACCTTAAAGCCTCTCCTTCCTTAATTCAATTGCCATATCACCGCATTAATTATGCTTAATTTCTCTAATCTCAGAAAATAATTCAAGATCTCATTTAATCAAAGGTAGAGATTAGTCCACAGTTCTCATGGGAGGTAGTGTATGCTTAATTTCTCTAACCTCAGAAAATAATTCAAGATCTCATTTAATCAAAGGTAGAGATTAGTCCACAGTTCTCATGGGAGGTAGTGTTCTCACCTGAACCTAACCATATATATATATATATATATATATATATATATATATATATATATATATATATATATATATATATATATATAAGATCATATGACATATGAGAACACCTGCTTAGGTGAGAACGTGAAAACAAGTCGTGTGCATCCATCTAATATTTTTTAATGGACTAGATTAGATTAAGTGTGTGCGAACGCGCATTAAATGTGTGCAAACGCGATGTGTTTGCACACATTTAATGCGCGTTCGCACACACTTAATCTAATCTATACCATTAAAAAATATTAGATGGATGCACATAATGTGTTCTCATGTTCCCACCTAAGCACATGTTCTCACTGGAACCCTACCGTATGTATGTATATATATATATATATATATATATATATATATATATATATATATATATATATATATGGGGGTGTTTGGCTAACGACTGATAGCTGATTGGTTTAGCTAGTAGTTGATGGCTGATTGCGTTAGCTGGTTTGACCAACTCGTTGTATTAGCTGGTTATAAAAAAATTGTTTGGTAAATTAGCTGTTTACTAGTAGCTGATTGAATGTAAAATGACGTTTAAGGGTATGAGTATATTGGATTATTTTAACCTTTAAATATAACAAGATGGTAAACTCTTATTAATAAATAATTATAAAATTTGGGTATCATACTTTTTTTAAGGACATAAGTTAATTATTTTTGTTTATTTAACTCTTAATAAATTATATTTTAAAACATTTTTTATTAATTATTTTCAATTTTAATAGTTTAAAAAGAATTACTATAAAATTAATAATACTACTACTTATTAATATTATTATTATTAAATTGCAAACCAACCACCCGTTTATTATTATTATTATTATTATTATTATTATTATTATTATAAAATGACAAACCCACCACCCATTTAAAAGCAAATCGCATTGATTCCCAAAGATAAAATAGTCAATATACAATTAATTCCAACCAGCTTATCCAAAAAGCTACATCCATTAACTTTTCAATTTTTGGCTTATTAGCCCAATCAGCCATTTACCAAACACTTCAAAACAACTTATTATTAAGTCAAACAACCAAACTTGATCAAATCAGCTAAAATTTGATTTATCAGCCAATAACCAAACACCCTATATATATATATATATATATATATATATATATATATAATTAGGTTCTTGTGCGGTTAGGATGCCCAGGTGCGGTTGTGCGATTTAATCTGGGCTATTCATCTCGCTTAAATCAACGTACAGGATTACCAAAATTTAAAAAAAAATCTACGGTGGTAATTTTGTAATTTTTGCATCTAGGTCAAAATTAAGGTGAGCGGTTCTGTAATTAATGTACGTGAGTTTTGTATATAAGATGCGTGAGTCTTGTGCGTAAGGTGCATAAGTTTTGTGCTTAATGTGCGTGGGGTTATACTTAATGTGAGTAGTTGTTTAAACTTGAAGTGTGGACTTTTGTGCTCAGATTTGTTCTTAATGTGAGTTGAGTATGTGCTTAATGTGCGTAGGGTTTGTACTTAATGTGTGTGAGGTTAGTGATTAATGTCAGTAGTTGTTGAAACTTAAGGAAACTTAAGGTCTGTGAGTTAATATTTAATGTGTGTGAGGTTGTGCCTAATGTGCGTGGGTTTTGTACTTAATGTGCGTGAGGTTGTGCTTAATATATATATATATATATATATATATATATATATATATATATATATATATATATATATATATATATATATATATATAAAAGATAATTTTAACCTATTAATATTAATATCAAATAAAATAATAAATATACGGAGTATTAATAAATTGATTGCATTGCATAGTGGTTGGAATTTGTATTTGTTTTACAAATGACGTGAGTCCAATTCTTTGTTAGAACTTAGAAGAACAAATAACCTCACTTCTCTCATATCCAAAAACATAATGTCCATATCAACCCAAATTAACCTCTGCATCCTCACAATCCTCATCTTCAGTTTCCCCTTATATGGAGAATCCCAAACCAGTAGTATCAATCCAGAAAGATCAATTCTTCTTGATTTAAGGAAGCACTTCTCAAATCCACCAAACATCTCCCACTGGACTTCATCATCAGATCATTGTACCTGGCCGGAAATTACCTGCCGAGATGGAGTAGTCACCGGAATTCAACTTGGTTGGCTTCTAATCAATGATACAATCCCACCCTTCATTTGTCACCTTAAAAATCTAACTTTTCTTGATCTCAACCACAACTATATCCCGGGATCATTTCCTACAGTTCTGTACAATTGTTCCAAACTTGAATACTTGGACCTTTCTTTTAACAACTTCAGTGGCATCATCCCCGGTGATATTAGCCGGCTTTCGCCCCATCTTGAGGTGTTTAATCTTTCTTCTAACTGGTTCGTGGGCGGCATTCCAGCTGGAATTTCAGGCCTGAAAGGGCTAAAAGAACTTCAGCTAGCTGGAGTGGTTTTAAATGGCTCTTTCCCTTCAGAGATTGGCAACCTCCTGAATCTTGAAGTTCTTGTTCTGAGCCAGAATAGTTTCTCACCACAGGAAATCCCACCAAGTTTTACCCAGTTGAAGAAACTGAGAAACTTGTGGATAAATCAGGCAAATTTGGTTGGAGAAATCCCGGAAAATATCAGTAACATGACAGCCCTTGAATTCTTAGACTTATCAGTGAATAACATAAGTGGAAGCATCCCAGTAGGTCTTGCTAGGTTACCGGCGTTGAGGGATGTTTGGCTATACACAAACAATCTTTCAGGTGAAATCCCAATGGTCTTTGGCCAATTTTCAAAGCTTAATACATTTGATGTATCCACAAACCATCTTACAGGATCACTACCAGAGGGTTTCTGTGCTAACAAGATATTGTCTAGTTTGATTGTCTTTAACAACAATCTCACAGGCCAGCTGCCAAAATCACTGGAGAATTGCAACACTTTAATTAGTGTCAGTGTCAGAATCAACAATCTTTCTGGAATAATTCCTGAAGGTTTATGGACAGCAAGGAATTTGAACAGGTTGTTGATGAACAATAACCAGTTCACTGGTCAGCTTCCACAGAAGATTGCATCAAATTTAACTCTGGTTGATATCAGCAACAACAGGTTTTCAGGTGAAATTCCAACTGGGATTTCTTCTTGGAGCAATCTTGGGGTCTTCATGGCAAGCAATAATCTTTTTACTGGTAACATCCCTCAACAACTCACAGCTCTTCAATTTTTATCAACTCTTTTGCTAGATGGGAATCGCCTTTCTGGAAATTTTCTATCAAATATTACCTCTTGGAAGTCATTGGACACATTGAATTGCAGCAGAAATCAGCTTTCTGGCAATATCCTTCGAGAACTTGGCCTTTTACCAAACCTTGTTCGGTTAGACCTGTCTGAAAATCAATTCTCTGGAGAAATCCCATCTGAAATAGGACGTTTAAGGCTATCAGCACTCAATCTGTCCTCTAATCGCCTTTCGGGCAAAATACCAAATGAACTAGAAGTTGCAGCTTTTAACATGAGCTTCTTGAATAATCCCAGTCTTTGTGCTGATACCCCCTCGTTACACCTCAGGGATTGTAAGTCAAACGACAAAAGTTCGGGCGAAGTTTCAGTCAAAGTTATTGTTATTATTCTTGGAACTATAGGAGCATTATTACTTCTAGTGGCCATTCTATATATATGGTATTCATTCAGAAGTAACAGAAAAAGGAAGAAAAGTATGGTTCCAAATTGGCAGTTCAAAGCATTCCACACCTTAAGCTTCACAGAATCAAACATTTTACCAAATTTAGCAGAAGACAATGTGGTTGGTATTGGGGGATCAGGAAAAGTGTATGTGGTGCCATTAAGTCAGTCCTCTCATGAAAAAGTTGCGGTGAAGAGGATTTGGAACAACCAAAAGTCGGACGAGAAGCTTGAGAAGGAATTTATAGCAGAAGTTGAGACACTGGGCACGATTCGCCACACCAACATAGTGAAGCTCCTTTGCTGCATCTCAAGTGAAGAATCAAAGCTGCTTGTATACGAATACATGGAAAATCACAGCCTGGATCTATGGCTTCACCCGAAGAGAAAATCAGCTGGCAATTCGGGTTCATTTCAGAGACAATTAGTCCTTGATTGGCCTAAAAGGATTCGTGTCGCGATTGGAACTGCTAAGGGGCTCTACTATATGCATCACTACTGCTCGCCACCCATTGTTCATAGAGATGTGAAATCCAGCAATATACTTTTAGATTCTGAGTTCAATGCCAAAATTGCAGATTTTGGTCTAGCCAGAATGTTGAACAAGCATGGACAGCCCAACACAGTTTCAGCAGTTGCAGGTTCTTTTGGCTATATAGCTCCTGGTAAGTCACAATATGTTAATTATTTACTTATTATCAAACAAACTGACTCATTTTACTTAAATAGATTACCATAACCAAGTATTTAATTCTCATTACCATTCCAATTCCAATGTTGGTACCAAACACACCCTTGTAAAGATTTTCATTTCCTAAAATTTTCAGAGTATGCACATACAAGGAAAGTAAACGAGAAGACTGATGTGTACAGCTTCGGAGTGATCCTTTTGGAACTGGCAACAGGAAGGGGACCAACTGATGGAGATGACGACAAGAGCTTGGCGGATTGGGCACGATACCACTTCCAAGAAGGAAATCCCATTGAGGATGCTCTAGATGAGAAAATCAAGGAGCCAAAGTACTTGGATGAGATGCATAGTGTATTCAGACTAGGGGTCTTCTGTGTTGCTACAAAACCTTCAGAAAGACCCACCATGAGAGAGGTGGTGCACATCCTGGTGCATTACAACAATAAATTGTTGCCTGATAGGAACAAGATAAGCCGAAGCAAGAGCGAGGCTTCATCACTGCTCAAAGCATTCAAAGGTGGAGATCATGGTTTAATGCCATTTCATGAAGTTTGAATAAAGATGGAACAAATGATAGCAGCAGGGCAACTCCAACCACGTTAGTCAATTGGCTTAGTAACCATAAGTTCTTTCAAGTTTGGCTCTAAATGGAAGCTAACAATTGACCTTGAGCAGGTCAACTAGGACCAAATTTAGTTAGTTTACTTTGTCGGATCGGCTAGAGTCACAAATAGTATAGTTACTTCTTTATGGTCTTTTGTTAGCTATAGTCATAAAGAGTATAGTTTACCTTCAAATAATCCTTTGTAGGCTAGAGTCTTAAGAAATGCACGTCAGTAGCGACTATCGGATTTTTAGTAAATCAAAATAAGGGCATCCTCAATAGTGGTAGGATTTTGAGGAGATTTTACAGGTGTGACTAAGAAAGAGAAATGGGTGAAAAGGAAAAAAGAAAATTAAAAAAAAAACAAAAAATAAAAAACAAAATCGAACGCCGTCGTTGAACACCACAGCCCCGCACGTCTCTGCCAATCGATAGCCGTCGACGAACGTCACAGCCGCACGTCTCCGCCAAGCATCGCCGGACTCACCTCGCCGCCACAGCCCGCTGTACATCGACGGCTCGCCGCTGCTGCTTGCTGGACGTCGACGGGCGCTCGCCGGTGAGTTTTATTTTTTATTTTTAATTGTTTTTTTATATATATTTTGAATTATATTTTATATATTTTGAATTTTATAAATTATTATTGAGTATATTTCGAAAATTTATGAATAGTTGTGTATATATTTTTTTAATTTTATGAGTTATTGGGTAAATTATGTATTGTTGTGTGTATATTTGGAATTTTATGAAATATTGTTTATATATTTTCAACTTTTAGCAATTGTTATCTATAAATGTTTAATTTTAGAATTATTGTGTATGTTATGAATAATTGTGTATCTATTTTGATATTTTGAATTGTATAAATTATTGTGTGGATATTTGAAAATTTAAGAATTGTTTTGTATATATATGTTGAATTTTAAGAATTATTGTAGTTGTTGCAGTAGTTATTATTATAGAAATTTGTTAAAATAGTGTCAACAAATGTTTAATTAGGGTTATTATTATTTTAGATTGGCTTGTGATGGATAAAAGTTGGATGATAGCTAATCGACTTAGTACGGAATACGAAGATGGAGTTAGAAAATTTTTAGACTTTGTAAAGAGTAACCTTCCGAATAGTAATAACATGTGGTTGTGTCCTTGTAAGAAATGTTGTAATCAAAAAAGGTTATGTGAAGATGACATATATGATGATCTAATCGTTAATGGGATTAATCCATATTATACACAATGGATTTGGCACGGTGAAAGCAATGTGGCTACGACATCTAACATGTATGTTGACAATGAAGATGATGGGTCTGAAGATCGGTTGGATGAAATGTTTCGCGATGTTGGAGAAGAGTTTACCAATCGGTCAAATGAGTTGGATGAATTATTGAAGGATTCAAAACAACCTTTATGGCCGCGATGTAGTAAATATACCCGATTATCTGCTGTATTAAAATTATTCAACTTGAAAGCTGGGAATGGGTGGAGTGACAAGAGCTTTACTGCGTTACTTAACATCGTAAATGATATGTTTCCAGATGGTAATTAACTTCCCAAGAGTACGTATGATGCTAAAAAGATGTTGTGTCCCATGGGTATGGGATATGAAAAGATATATGCTTGCCATAACGATTGCATATTGTTTAGGAATGATTACAAAGACTTGCATGCATGTCAATATGTGGGGCATCTCGTTATAAAACAAGAGAGAATGTTGCTGGTAAAGTACATTTAAAAAGTCCATCAGCTAAGGTATCTCCCAATTCTTCCAAGATTTAAGCGCATGTTTGCAAATCCAAGCGATGCAAAAAACTTAACATGGCATGCAGATCAAAGAATTTCTGATGCAAGCTTCGACACCCAGCTGATTGTTCTCAATGGATAACATTTGATAATGCATTTCCTGAATTTGGCCATGAGTCGAGAAATCTTAGACTTGGACTTTGTACTGGTGGTATTAACCCCCACGGGAACCTAAGTAGCAAGCATAGTTCATCGCCAGTTATGTTGATAATTTATAATCTACCCCCTTGGTTGTGTATGAAACGCAAATACATATTATTATGCTTGATGATTTCTGGGCCAAAATAACCAGGTAATGATATAGATGTTTTTTTGGCACTTTTGATTGACGACTTGAAGCAATTATGGGATGAAGGTGTATTAGTGTTCGACGCATACCGAAAGGAGACTTTTAAGTTGCATGCAATGTTTTTTTGCACAATCAATGACTTTCCAGCTTATGGAAACCTGTCTGGATATAGTGTCAAAGGTCATAAGGCATGCCCCATATGTGAAGATAATACCTGTTATCATCAACTTGTTCATGGTAGAAAGACTATATACATGGGGCATCGGAGATTTCTTGATAAATTTCACCCTTATCGAAAATTAAAAAAAAAAAAACATCCAATGGGGTACAAGACTATACAGATGCTCCACAATCATTGACTGGGAATCAAGTTTATGAACGAGTTGAATGCATCAATGTTACTTTTGGTAAGATTCAAAAGCATAAATCTCAAAGAGGTAAGAGTCAAAATATAATGTTGTGATACCTACAAATGAGAAGAGTCCGTGGAAAAAGAAATCTATATTCTTTGATCTTCCATATTGGAAGACACTAGATGTGAGACATAGTATTGATGTGATGCATGTGGAGAAAAATGTATGTGATAGTCTTGTTGGAGCACTTTTAGACAAAAGGTAAGACTAAAGATGGACTCAATGCTAGATTGGATTTGGTTGAAATGTGTATACGACCTACATTAGCTCCAGTTGCGGGGATAATAAAACATATTTGCCTCCGGCTGCTCGTACTTTATCAAGAAAGGAGAAAATAAGTTTTTGTGAGTATTTACGTGGAGTAAACGTACCACAATGGTATTCATCAAATATCAGTAGACTTGTTAATATGCAAGATTTAAAGTTGGTGGGGTTGAAGTCTCATGATTGCCATGTCTTAATGCAACAACTATTGCCAGTGGCTGTTAGAGGCATATTGCCTAAAAAGTTGAGATATACCATCATAAGACTTTGTTTTTTTCAATGCAATATGTTGGAAAGTTATTGATCCAGGCAAATTAGATGAATTGCAAAATGGCATTATTGTTACACTGTGTCAGCTAGAGATGCACTTTCCACCTTCATTTTTTGATATCATGGTTCATTTGCTTGTGCATTTGGTGAGAGAGATCAAACATTGTGGTCCAGCTTATTTGAGGTGGATGTACCCATTTGAACGGTACATGAAAGTATTAAAAGGTTATGTTAGGAACCGATATAGGCCGAAAGCATCTATTGTGTAAAGCTGTGTTGCTGAGGAGGTTACTGAGTTTTGTACTGAATATCTAGCAGGGGTAGAGGCTATTGGTCTTTCTAAGTCTCGACATGAAGGAAGAATTGCTGGGAAGGGTACTCGAGGAGTCAAAGTGAATACTATGCCTCGTGAAGATGTTGAGCAGACACACTTGTACATCTTGCATAATACAAGTGAAGTCGAACCGTATTTAGATGAACACAAGGCCTTGATTAGGGAGCAAAATCCCAGAAGGACAGACATGTGGATTGTAGCCGAACATAATCGTACTTTTATTGGTTGGTTCAAAAATAAAGTTCTTGAAGAGAATAATGTTTCTGAAACCGTTTCATGGTTAGCACATGGTCCTAGTTTGGATGTCATATGTCATAATGGATATGACATTAATGGGTTTCCTTTTTATACAAAAGCTCAAGATGAAAAGAGCACTATGCAAAACAGTGGAGTTACTTTGGTTGCAAATTCAATGCATTTCAGTAGTTCGAAAGATAAAAATCCTGTGTTTGTAGAGTTGTCATATTATGGTGTGATTGAAGAAATATGGGAAGTTGATTATGTTTTGTTTAGGGTGCCGGTGTTTCGATGTAGATGGGTAGATAATAAACATGGTGTAAAAGTTGACGAGTTAGGAGTTACACTTGTAGATTTTAATCGGGAAGGGCACAAATATGAGCAGTTCATAATGGCATCTCAAGCAAAACAAGTCTTTTATATTAGTGAGCCTTGTGACAAAAAATGGTCAATTGTTCTTCATGGAAAGAGACAAATTACTGGAGATGAGAATGAAGATGTTAGTTTTGATATTGAGGAAATACCACCATTTTCTTCAATTTTATTGCCCGTTATTATCGATAATGAGATAGATGAAGTGCATGCATCACGAGATGATCATCATGAAGGGATATGGAAGAATTGATTATTATATGTAATGCTTTAATTAAGTATTTATTCTGTTTTTTAGTTTTCTTATTCTAATACTTCTATATATTTTAATAATTTTTCTTTCTAAATAGGTGTATGGATTCAGCAAATGATGACGGTACTACACAAGGTACTCATACTACTCAAAGTAGTAATACTATTTCTAAGACGAGGGGTGTCACTCGTATGCAAAAACTCATTCTGCAACGTTCTACTTTGGGCAAATACGAAATTGAGCTTGATGGATTGGAGGCTGTCTACGGGCCAGCTGGTAGTGCATTTAAAAATTATGTTGCATTAGTGGGACGAATCAATACTCCTATCACAATAGATGAATGGTCGAATGTCCCAAAAAATACTAAGGCTACTATTTGGAAAGAAATCCTGGTAAATTTTATTTTTTAAGATTTAGATTTATTCAAAAAAGTTAATATAATTTCAATTCTTACTAATAAATAATCTTGTTTTGTAGAACACTTATGATATTCCTGACACAATTGATATGAGGAGACATTGGATAACCTATGTGAGTGACCGGTGGAAAGATTTTAAAACGAAATTGGTGAGCAAGTATATATACGGTTCTTTTGCAGGTATGAACCCTTGTACAAAATACAACTTCCTTGAATAAGAGACATGGAATGAGTTTGATTAATATTTTGTATTTATGTAGGCAAAAAGAAAAAAATAGCAAGACATACAAGCTAAGAATATTCATCCACATCTTTTAGCTCGAGGAGGTTATAAAAGGTTAGAGAAGATGATGATGGAAGAGAAGTTGAAAGAAAAACAAGCATGTGCTGATGCAGATCCGTCGTATACAATGACTCCTCCAAGTCCTCCACGTAGAGCCGAAAAGTGGAAGAAAGCAAGAATTGACAAGCTAGGAAATTTTCGCACTGAATCAACTAGATTGGTGGCGGAAAAAATTGTAAGTAAATATGTTGTCATTTATTACAGTAATAGTAATTATTATTGAATAATTTTTATATATGTTAGGATGCTCTTGAGTTGCAAATTTCTCAAGAAAAATTTGTTGAGGATGGAAGAAAAGATTCATTGACTGTTGCATTGGGTACTGATGAGCATTCTAGACATGTTAGAGCCATGGGAAGAAGACATGGCATCAAAAGTGTATTTGGCCATGCAAAACGTCGCCAAAAAACCTCCTGAAGATGTTCAACGATTGATTGATGCATTTGTTGATGCATGTGTTGATGCTGCTATTGCACAAGCGTCAGAAAAACAAAATCAGAAAAATATTTCTCAGCAGGAGGAATTGAGTGAACGATTAACTCAGCATTTTGAGGCACGAATGGCTAAGATGATGCTGCAATTTAGTTCTCTGCAGACTCCTGCTCACCAATATGTACAATCAAAGCAGGGGAATGACGTATGTGTGGATGCTGAGCCACAATCTCGAAGTGAAAAAGCTAGTTCCCCGGACCCTTTTACTAATTTACCGGTTGTAAGTATTCGTTTATAGTTAATCTTATTATTATCTATCAACAACATTTTATATGATTCTTAATTAAAAATTAATGCTGTTAGGGGCACGATGTCAATTGTTCTTAGAAGATCCAATTGGCTGTCCAGTGGCATATGGGATAGCTTACAGTTGTGGACAGGTTCATGGGGTTGTACTGAATGTAAATCATGTGAAGGTGAGCGTAAATGAAGTTAGTGATCCAAGTGCACATGTATCAATCCCCACCAGTGAGGTTCAGCTTGTAGGTGATGCAATTCAACACTTTATTATTTGGCCAAAGAAGCTGGTAGAGTTATGTACTGAAGTTGATGCGGTATGTACACTGAAAATATTTCTATTTTAAAATAGTAAGTAAATTACTTTTTAAAATAATAATTCTTACTTGTATTATAATTCACAGTTAAAAGAAAAGACCAAATTGACTTTTCAATCGGGTGTGCAATCCGTACATCAAGAATTCACTGTAGCTGATCCAGATTCTTTGACTGTTGTATGCAAAAAGGCCTTTACAATAGCTAGCCGTCTTGAACACAATCTTGTTATCCATGTGGCTCGTGGTATTATGGGCAACATTGAGTATGACTTGCACCTTGACAATGTGGAGATAATGCGTTTTTTAAATATGGAGACCATCGATGTTTCTCTATTTCATCAATTGCACTATATAATATTCGTTGCTATAATTTATATCTGTATATTCATCAAAATATTCTTAAAGATTATAACAAATTTATTTCGTGCAACGTACGGCTAATAATAATAATAATAATAATAATAATAATAATAATAATAATAATAATAATAATAATAACAACAACAACAATAATAATAAAAACAATACTAATAACAATAATAACAATAACAACAACAACAACTACTACTACTACTACTACAATAATAATAATAATAATAATAATAATAATAATAATAATAATAATAATAATAATAATAATAACAATATGGTAAAATATTATTGTGCGCAAAGAAGAAAAGCCAAAAGACATATTATGGAATAAATTATAATTATAACAATAATAGTATTAGGGAATAAATTATAACAATAATAATATTTTGCACAATTTTTGAACCTTAGACCTCCAAGTTAAAATACAATAAACACACATTCCTACCATTTCTTCTTGGAGCCTTTTAAAGGTAATTGAAAGCTTTTAGTTTTTATTTCTAAACTAACTAGGTAAAAATGAAATATTGGGCTTCTAAAATTTGGGGCCCCTCTTAAATTTGGGGCCCTATGCGGTAACCCAGCCTGCACAGCCCAAAATTCGGGCCTGTCGAAAGGTTACGTTTCGATCCGTCTTAACAAAATAGTTGGAATAGTAACTCGAATGGTTACCCTTTGAATAGCCCGTGATGATGAAGAATTGAAGACTTGAAGACTGAAGACAAAGATTTGAAGAGTAGAAGACTACAAGACCGAAAGGTTACGTTGCAAAGGCCGAATAGTGTAAAACCTCCCTTTATACTTGATAGATACCCCTGGTCGGGCACCCAACCATGTACGCGGTAGGCAGTCGGGTGGAGGCACCTAAGACACATAGCGATGTGGAGAAGAAGGCCCCCTATTGGTCTAGCGATCACATGTTACTTGGGCGGCTCACCAGTCGGCTCGGTTGGACGACCAAACTAGGCAGTCGGTGTGTCCTCGACCGAGTGCATGCTCTAGAGGCAATTAAAAGCATATTCAGCAGAGGTTCTTTCCTTGCATGTCAAGTAACTTCCTTTTTTCACCTTAGGAAGGTACAATGGCAGTTATGGGCAAATTATGCTATGAAAACGTGCCCACCTTGCAATCTTTAAGCTAGTTGAGAATGATAAGGAAGAAAAGAAATGAGTAGGAGAAGGCTTATTGGAGGATGTTGAAATCTCTAAGCTAGTTGGAACCCTTGGTCTCTTGAAGGAGGAATGCAAGAGAAGAATGTTGAAGAACAACGAATATGGTAGTATTTATAGGTGGGGCTCAAAACCCGCCCTAGGGCTGATTTGTTCACATGGCTAGGATGGGCAATTTGGTCCTTTCGCGATTTAAAATCTCGGGTTATAAATTTTGGTCAAAAGTTAGGTCAAGTTCAAATGAAAATTATAACATAATAAATATGGAAATATGTTAGGTTAATTTTAAAATCATTTTTGGGTTAAAAACAATTCTATCATATTCACAGGTTCCTCTTAGATGGACTTTTGGGTCAAAGTTTTGACAAATAAATATATCGCTTAAATAGGGTTTTTAAAACCATAAATAAATATATAAATAGTTTGAATAAAATTATTTTGGAATAATGAGTTTAAAATATTTTATTCTAACACCCATTTGGAAAAATATCGAGGAATAAAAATCATTTTATTTTGAAATTTGATAAAATAGGAGTTTTGGAAGAAAAATATTTTGGGGTCTCACACCGACTGACCAGGTTTTTTCAAGCCTTTACATTGGAAAGGAGTGAGATTCCTTGGCTACTCAACTTATGCAGGTTACCTGGTAGTCAGTCACCCTTCGGACACTAGGCGATCGACTGATTTTTGCTAGTTTTCGTTAAATCTTTTCAGGTTTAGGCATATGAAGCAAGATAGTGAGGGGCTGCCACATGCTAAGAGTGGACGACTAACTTAGAATAGGCAAAACTAACTGGTCTGGACCATACCCACTTAATGGGGTGCATCTCACGAATATGCTTTCCACTTAATTAGTGTCTTGAATTTTGCAGGATATTGAAATGCTAGGTGGTCGGTCGGATGACTCACGTTCTACTTCTATTTTTTCCAAATACCAAATATTAGAGCTCATAAGGAAGGTACGCACCTCGTGTGTTTTCTTTTAACTTATCTAGTTTTCGAGTTTTGTAGGATAATAAAAGTTCTCAATGGTCGGCTTACAACCTTAGCGGTCGGCTTTGGGTCTTAGTGAGGTAATCGGATTTCATATGGAGGTGGTCGGAATTATCGTCCTAGCTGAATATTGCGCTTATGATTGTACTCTTTTTCGCTTAGCTAAGCTTTTTCCCCTGAATTTTTCTTAGTCTAAGGTTTTTAACGAGGCAACCAGTGTTATCTGTGGCCCCTATACTCAGCCCTGACTTATGGGGCTCACCATGGACCCTCAGTTTAACAGCCGCGTCCAAAAGGACTGCCAACCGAACGGTGATGCTCATCCAGACGATGCATTTTCAAGAAGTAATTGGTCAGAAGAAGACTTGGCTTCTAGAAGCACAGAGCCGATCAAAAAATATTTTTGAGATACTTTTTGAGACATCAACTTCGCTAAGTCTCAAGAAAGTGGGGGGCTGGATGATGGATGTTATATTAGGCTGACTGGACGGACCAGTCAACCAAACTAGCCTGGGCCACATGGACCGGCACCGAGAAGGAATGAGCAGCTTGGGCCTATTCACAGTTTAATAGGATTAGGCTCATTATTCACAATGTAATAAGGATTGGACTCATTATTTCTAATGTAGTAGGATTAAGGCTTATTATTCCCAATGTAACAATGACTCCCAATATGAGGTAGTGTATGATTTCTATTCCCTATGGGATGGGACTCCTAACCCAAAATATGTATAAATAGACCTCATATATGGAGAGAAGTGGGAGCAATTCTGAGCAATACATCATATTTATTCTTTCCATATATTTTCTCAATATTTTTCCCATATATTCATTATTCTAGCGGTAGTATTGGCCAACCGTTGACTGCCCCAAAAGTCATAAAACCAACACCAATCGTTATACTGTGGACCCTGGTCGATATTGCAAAATGGACCACTAATATACAAGTTTATTTGTAGTACAATAAGGTTAAATTCTAATGCACTACAAGTTTATTTTTAAAATGTTCATTTTTAATATATTGTATATTTATTTTTAGTATATTATCAAAAAATGAACCTTCACTAGTATATTAAAAATAAAAATTATCAATGATTCATATCATCAGGTGAACCATAATCCACCATATAAATTGCGGTCATTTAGCATGCCAATTCCCAGTTGTTATATTATAGACCGCGGTGCATAATCGATTATGCACCGCGGCCCATATACGGCGCCGTTTCTTTAAGTAAAGAAACGGCCCGCCGTTAGAGTTAACGGAGTCCGTTTGTTTGGTATATTAAACACCAACTGACACAACAGTATATCCAAACCGACACTGCAGTTATATCAAAATGATACTGTAGTTATAGTGAAATGAAACTGCAGTGTATATAAACTGAAACTGAATAACATTTCACATATTTGAGTGTATATTGTACAATGAAGCTGTAATTATATCAAAATGATCATGTAGTTGTGTTTTAATAAAACTATAGTGTATATAAAATAAAATTAAATAGCATTTTCACATATTTGAGTCTATAAATATCGAACGAAACTATAGTTATATCGAAATGAAACTGTAGTTGTGTTCAACTGAAACTGCAGTGTATACAAAATGACACTGAATAACAGAGTTACTTTTTACAAAAGGGTGCGAAACGGCGGAAATAAATACTGTTAATTTTCATTTAAAAAAAAGACGCGCGGTGCATAATCGATTATGCACCGCGGTGCATAATATAATTTGCGGCCAATTCCTCTACCAGAGCCCTAACTCTTAATTTGGGGGTTTCAATAGAACAGAATTAGCAACCCAAAAACGTTTCCTTTCAATTATTTAATGAAACTTATTTGGCCTTTATCCTTAAACCCAGCAGTTCTTGGACCCAGATATTAGCCCAGTGAAGTCCTTTTGGGCCTCATGATGGAATCCAAATTATCTTGGGCCATTCCTCAGTCTGATAATGTGGGCAAATTATATTATGCACCGCGGTGCATAATCGATTATGCACCGCGCGTCTTTTTTTTTAAATGAAAATTAACAGTGTTTATTTCCGCCGTTTCGCACCCTTTTGCAAAAAGTAACTCTGTTATTCAGTGTCATTTTGTATACACTGCAGTTTCAGTTGAACAGAATTACAGTTTCATTTCGATATAACTATAGTTTCATTCGATATTTATAGACTCAAATATGTGAAAATGTTATTTAATTTTATTTTATATACACTATAGTTTCATTAAAATACAACTACATGATCATTTTGATATAATTACAGCTTCATTGTACAATATACACTCAAATATGTGAAATGTTATTCAGTTTCAGTTTATATACACTGCAGTTTCATTTCACTATAACTACAGTATCATTTTGATATAACTGCAGTGTCGGTTTGAATATACTGTAGTATCAGTTGATGTTTAATATACCAAACAAACGGACTCCGTTAACTCTAACGGCGGGCCGTTTCTTTACTTAAAGAAACGGCGTCGTTTTTGACCGCGGTGCACATGCACCGCGGTCTATAATATAACGACTGGATAATGTGAGCGAAGTATGATCATTCAAACTTTTTTTTTTTTTTTTAATTTTAAATGCAATATGAACCATGGTTGATCGTATAACAATTTTCAAATTTTTGATTGGGTTTAAGAGTGCAAATTAGTTGTTAAATGCTTTGATACCCAAGACCATTTATTATTAGGTAAAAACTTGTATGAGACTGTCT